GAGAATGTTGGATTATCTTTTGTTTGTTTTTAATCTTTGTTTGAGTGGCTAATTTGTCTTACAAGTCACTCCAAAAACAGAAAATAAGTCTGATCAACTTTCTGAAACAGAGCATTGTCATTACCTATAACATTAATCTCATCTTGAATGTGAAGTAAAGCACAAATTACAAACTCTTTTTACTGTGACCTCAAACACTTAGCCATTTCAAACCCATTCCTAGCATTCTGATAATCCTCAAAAGCCATATCGATCTCTGCTTGCGAATTCATCACAAACGGACCACACTGAACCACAGGCTCACCAATCGGTTCCCCTGCAATCAACAGAAACCTCAACGGCCTTGAGGTTGACTTGTTCCACACGCTAACTAAATCCCCTGGTCCAAACACAACAACATGGTGCGCCGATATAGCGGAAGAGTTCAAGGAACCGAACACACCTTCATCTCCTTCTATAATATAGGCGAAAGCCGTCCATAGTTCTGGAACGGTCTGGTGGGTTTGAGATCCTGGCTTGAGGGTAAAGTCAAGGAACATTGTTGGTGTTCTTGTGTAGACTAAAGATTGGATTCCCATTGAATCTCCAGCTATGACCTTGACCTCAACTCCTTTTTCTTCTGCTCTCGGTATATCTAAACTCGACTGTACCTTATATTTCGGCTCGATCCTGTCAAAATCAAAGAAGATAAAGTTTCAAAACTTGACACTTCTTTCTGAGAGAGAATAATAGAGAATGTTGTTTTACATTTTGTCATGTGAAGGGAGATTGATCCAAAGTTGTAAACCATTGTTGACTTCTTCTTCAGGCATTTCTGAATGGATTATTCCTCTTCCTGATGTCAACCACTGTCAAAAATCAAGATCGAGATTTGAGTGAAACAAGAAAGCTCGTAGAGGATTTGATGAAAATGTGTTCTTGTTTTTTTTTCTTTTTGCACCTGAACATCTCCGGCTCGGATTGTACCATTATGACCATTGAGATCGTTGTGAATGATACCTCCCTGCGTAATTTCAAAGCCACTGGAATCAATCAAGATTCAAGAATTTAATTTGTAGATAATTCAAGAATATATGTATACAATTCTCACCTTGAACATGTATGTAACACTTTCAAAACCTGCATATATTTGATCAATTACATGAGTTACATTACAGAACAGATATATGCGTGTGTAATAAGGTATCTTAATGGTGATAAGGACCTCTATGAGGATGATCTGGGAATCCAGCTGAAAGCGAAACTGATCAATAAACAGAGCAAAACAGAACAAACAATGGCTGCTTCAGATTTCTAAAACGTTGAAGATCACATTATTTTATTTTAAGATTTGGAGAATGAAGAAATTTACATGTAAATTCAACAAGCAACTTGAACGAGTCCAATAACTTATGCTCACTCCTGAATTAACCCCAAAAAGGAAAGAAAAAATATATGAAACCTGAAGCAGAAGCCATTTAGATTTTCGTGAGAAAATTTGAGTAAGGAAAAAGAAAACTCACTCTGTGATGCCTTGTCTAACTAAAGCACCTTCGCCTTCTTTCTGAAGATTTGCTAATATTTTCTTGATTACAAGTCTTGGTACGCTATTATTGTCTGAAGAACCAGTCATGGTGATTACAAGTCTTCTTCTTCTTTTTTTTGGTTTTTGAAACGAAGAAAAGCTTTTTGCTTGATAATGGAAGAAGTCAGTTTGTATTTGGTT